CACACACACACTAACTACGTCACAGGGGTCCGGGTACTTTTGTGTCCATTCATTTTTCTTTTTTTAACCCAGAAATGAAACACGGAAAATAAATAGAATAAGCAGGCACAAACTAATTTTCATTATTCAAAATTCGTATTTCATTAAAAATCGTAGAAATTATATAAAACTTGTTTTTTAATATATATAAATGCTAAATTTAATTTCTAGCTTTTTTTAGCATCTCTATACAGACGCTATAAGCGACCTCTCGCACTACTGACGTGGCTACCAGTAACCTATTGCTTTATGAAAACTTTTTCTTTATAATTTTTCACGCCTAAAAACATGTATGAAATACTCGTTACATATTTCTTTGCAATTAACTGTATCCAGGGCCGGTTCTACGGGAGTGCTTGAGGGAATGAAACAAAAGCAAGGGAACATCAGTTGAAGCTGTAGAAATAGGGTATGGCGAATCATATTTTCCAAACGCTCCAGTGTGTATTTGTGTTTGAACACTGGAGAGCTTGAAAGGTTTCTATTTTCAACGTGTTTTTGTAGCACTGATCAATGTAGCCAATCACCAACATTTTCTGTTGATTTCCTGAAAGCAATGGCTTTCCCAAGTTCCCAAGTTAGGATCCACTCCACGCCACAGTTTTGTTCAGTGCTGCACGCTCGGGAGTCTCTCATTATAACAAACAAAGTGTAGCATGATGTAAATAAGAGATTCATTGTGCAGTGTAGAGCTTCATTGATTATAACGAAACTTTGTGATATCGTGATAAACTGTAATGAGTGACAGCTTGTTAATTATTATAAAGGAAGCGCTCTTTGTGCGTTTTCTTGGCTAATCCATTCAGAAGTTTTGTTTTTCATGCTAACAGGACCAGTCACTGCGGCATATATGCGGATGTCACTATCAATGGACATGGCAAAAATATGTCAAAATAGACGTAGGCCTACATTAGGGCTAGAGCACCCTCACTGATTCAGAAGCACCCTCAGTGATTTGATTCTGGAACAAAATGTTGATTCTGGACAAAATTATATTCCAATATATAATTTTATGATGATAAGTTCCCAGGATTCTTCAATGTCTATTTTAAAATCATATTTGTATTTGGTCTCTGCATTGTTCCGGAGATGGCTCTAGTTCTCAACTGAACTGGGGTGTGTTTCCCAAAAGCATCGTTAGCTAACAATGGTCGCAAGTTCCATTTAACTCTATTGGTAACGACGGAACTTGCGACCATAGTTGCTTTGAGGAAACGCACCCCTGAACGTGCGGGAGAAACATTACTTCTAATTTTGCCAAAGAAAACTTGTTAAAATCGACATTTTTCTATATTAATTTGAGCATTTTTCAAATGTTTATAAAGTTGCAAAAAGTCATAAATAAAAATCTGAAAAGTAAGTATTTTACTTTTTCGGGCAGCATTTTGTGTGTACGGTTCTAAATTAAATTAAGGTTTTCAGCATAGCATTTAAAAATAGGTTACAACAGCTTTTAGTTTTCTTTTTTTTGTCATGGTTTAAAAACCTAATGGACGCAAAAGTACACGGACCGTCACACAGCTTTATATATAAATATATTTAGAAACCTGAATTTCATATTATTCAAACGAAATCCTTTCATCCTGCCATCTCCTTCCTCTTTCCTCTTGGTCGGTTCAAAGTGCGTGAAGTCAGGAGAGTTCAGCTGGACAGTAAGATCACAAAGTGTCTGAGTTTCCAATCGTTTTTCGAGTCTTCGCTATTGTTTCAATGCAAAGGAAACCACCGCGCTGTTATTTGTTGTGTAGTGATGGGTATGGTTCAAGCAAGCTAATTAATTAATTTCAAACCCTGGATATGATATATGATAATTCTCAAAAACATTTTTTGGCTTAATTAACATGAAATATCACCATTGCACCCTTAATCCCAAACTGCTCCAGAGGAAATGCTCACTGCAATATAAATATAATATTACAATAAGTTATTTGGACAAAAATGCTGTCAATGTTACTAACTTCAGTCATTGCAAAGTGTTCGTTTTCAAAGTGCTTATCCTACGTAACAGCCCCCTGGAGAGATTTTGGTGAAGAACACAATGAATATGGAAGAAGAGATGCTAATAATTCCATACATTTTTTTTAAACATATTAACACCATTGAGCCAGCTGTCATTTTACATTCCGCTGGGGTCACCAAGTACCCATAATAAATAAAATGTAAATAAAATAAAATGTTTTGGTGATCTAATGGCAAGTCCGACAGAATTGCTTTCCTCACACCACTTTTGTAATTAATAACCCTTCTCTGTCTCTTTTTCTGTCTACAGGTAAAGACAGCACAGGGCTGACAGATTCTGAGTTGCCCCAAAACAGTGATCCTGCAGGGATGGATGGCAGCTACCTCAGCGTAAAGGAGTCAGGAGTGAAAAGCCCTCAGCAGCCAAACTCAGAGTTGGCTTCTCCATTGGACAAGGCTGAGGGAGAGAGCAACAAGGGCAAGAAAAGACGCAACCGCACCACCTTCACAAGCTATCAGCTAGAGGAGCTGGAGAAAGTCTTTCAGAAAACACACTATCCCGATGTCTACGCCCGGGAACAACTCGCACTGAGGACTGACCTGACAGAAGCTCGAGTACAGGTGTGAACTCTTTAACTCCACACATATCCATTACCAAATCCAATCCTGTGTTTTAAATCACCTTTAACGTTGAGGCTAGATGAACATGAGTCTTTCTCTACTAATTTTAGTCCAGTTGAGTTTTTTGTAATCCAAAATGAGGGATGATCTTGCGAAGAGATATTGCACTCAGCGCCATGATTATTAAATATAAATAGAGAATTCAGAGCAAAAGTGGTTAAATTTGGACATCACAAGAGATTATAAAGGAAAAAAGGGCTTACAGATTAGACATGTCCAGAGTCTGCTTTTATCTCAAGCCTCTACCTGAACCTCGGAGCCCAGCTGAATTAAACTCAGCCTAGGTCTGGAAAACCAGAACCTTTATGTGACCCACCCCAACCCCTACCCCTACACTTGCATATAATCCCTCCAACACCACTGCTGCATTCCTGCACCGACAGACAGACCGGGAGATCCCTTTACCCGACCCCAAATGTGCGCTTTACTTAGAAGCCCTGGATTTACACTGTTTTTCTTTCATTAATGTCCCACTCAAGAAAGAATGTGTCCCTCCCTGCTCTCAAGGGTAGGTGAGCGAACCTGGCCTGAAGCTCCTTCGTGTGGTGAGGGTTGCTTATGACCTACGTACATGCAAACGTCTTTGACTATAACTAAAGAATGATGGGAAACATCCAAAGAACCATGATGGCTCAGGGACAATGAGTATTGTCAAATCTTTTTGGAAAGACAACTATTTTACTACACATAACTCTAATGTTATGTGTAGCTAATGTTAGCTTTTTTTTACAGCAACATGAAATAAGCACAAAACAAAAATGAAATATTCCTTTGGCGAAAAGCAAGCTTTGTTAAGAGTCTCGTTTGCTAAACCCACCCCCCTTCTTCTCCCCATCATTTCCTGTTGCTTCTTTATTCTCCTGTATTATTGAAGTCAAAAAAACAAATAATGATTAAAAAACAAAAACAAAAATGTACTTGCGTAAAAAGTACAAAAAGTAGCATTGTAAATTGCTAATGTTTACTATACTAAATACACAAATTGGCAGAAAATCTTTGGTTTGTTTTTGCCTAAGAGAAAGATCTGATAATGTTAATATATTTAATAATAATATATCTATATACATCTAGTCAAAGGTTAAAGGCTTAAATACAGTCAACCTTTTCATCTAAAAATGCCATTTGACATGATGACCAAATAAAAATTATTTAGACATAGAAATAAAATATTATGCATTTTTCTATAATTACAGGTCTGGAGGTTCAAGAAAAAAAATCTAAAAATTAATGATTTTTTAAAGTAGAAGAGTGAGCTTGAGTGACAGCAGAGGCAGACCATCAATCCTCAAAGCTACTCTGGACTTCAAAGCTGCTCTTTTCCCCTTTTCTCCTGGTTTTAGTTCAGTGTTTCTGTTCTCTCTCCCCTGGTGCTGGAACATAAATAAAGCTCCATAATAAGCCTCTAAGCTGCTTTAGCTGTCAGCGTCTTTACCAATTACTGTGTTACTAGCACGCATGGACAACATACAAAAGATTAAAAAAGAGCGACTTTTTCTGCTATGTTTCGAACAGGTGCTGGTCAAAATTAGTTGACTTGTTAACAGTGGCAGCCTTGAACTTATTCAGCAGCAACCACTAAAGGAAAGAGTGACAGAAAATAAAGAAACCAAAATGCAAGACCAAGGTTGTGACTGAACTAACGACCCAAATAACTCCCCCATCTATGATCTCTCTCTCTCCCTGTCAGTCTGGTTTATAGTTGAGCTTTTGGTATAAGCATATACTACACACCTCAGCACTGGCTCATCAGTATGAAAGGAATAAGGGAATATTTCCACCACTCGTCTACGTGCCTCTACCGGGTTGGAGAGTCAGATATGGAAATCCAGGAGCTTAAGAGTCAGGAAATTAAACAAAGAATGAAAACAAACTCCATTTTGAACTTTCTTCCATCTTTCTTTTCAATCTCCCAACTTCCATGCTTCGATTTATGAAGGGGAAGACAGTTTGAGAAAAAGATAAGTATAAAGACAGGAATAAAAATTATGGCACACACAATGCATATTAAACAGACGTTTTAGCATTCATAGATGCACAGACAGCATCAACAACTAGAATCATTTAAAAACACTCAAACGAGGACACAAGGACGCAAACGGGGAGCCACAAGAGTGATGATGCCTGCTGAAAAAAATCTGTGCAATTCAGAAAACAAATGTTCTTTTTTCTCAAGGCAGTTAAGCTCTACAAACATATGATGTGGAGCCAAGGGACGTTGATGTCCACCACCACATTAAGTGCAAGCAGAGCTGAGGTGCTATCAGGTTACGCTGAGAGATAGGCTGACATCTCGCTGGCAATAGATGCAAAAACCACAAACTGATTGACCAAAGAGCCATACCTAGATCCAAGTTCAAGCTCCGTGACGAATCGAGATTGCAAGACAAAAGAAAGTCTCTGTATGAAAAAAAGAAAAAAACTTTCCACTACACAAATCAATAAACAGATAGTTCTAAACAGAGAAGATCCGGGATTAAAAGAATGGAATTTTGGCAGCTCTTCAGACTACGACCCATGAGAAATCACTTTATGTGTAATTTGTTCTCTAATTCCCAGGTCTCCAAATAACAACCATCTATTCAGGGAAACAATGCATATTTCTATAGCAAAGCAAAAAGGAACAAAAAAAGAAAGAAAGAAAGAGTGCACATCGCCAGATAAAATCCAGTACTGACTATTTCTTAAAGGAATAGTTCAGTCAAAAATGCTAATTAGTTTATAGCATTATTTACACACTCTCATGTCATTCAAGACTGTGTGACTTTCATTCCTCTATCGATCACAAAAGAAGATATTTTGAATAAAGTTTCAGACATGTTTTCCACATCAGTGAGCCCACTGACTTTCATTGCATGCAAAAAAAAAAAAAAAGGAAAGTCATACAGGTCCACAATCATAAATGAAATGATACATTTTTATTTTTGATTCACCTTTTCCTTTCTAAAAGCTGAGTGGCAAACTCCTAATCCATCAAAGCAAGCGTATGGTGGTGGAGGAACAGGGGGAGTGACACTGTTCTCTGAGGCCTCTGGCCTCTGGGTTCCTGCTTTCTCCTCCCTGCCCCCTGCTGCTGCTGATGGCTCTGATAGAAAAGAAACTCAGAGGAGGCCATCACAGTCTGTCAGCTCCCACAGCATCAAACAACGGCCAGGTCTCACCGAACTGTTTTCCAGGAAAAGATGCTGAAAAATAATACAGCAGAGGTGTTTCCTACATTAGCTCTAGCCTTACAACTCAAGTGACAGACACTCTAGGCACCCAAAAAAAAAAAAAAATTGCATCTAGACATTTGATCCCAAATGAGTTACACAATGTGATCAGTGTACATACCGTGTAATAATGGGAAGCTTGATGATGGATGTTTACCACTCTGTGTAAATAAATCTCCACTAAGAAAACATTTCCTGTCTATGATGTGACACCACAAGTGGCCAGTTAACGTGAGGTTATTTAATCCCTTACTAATGAGATATCCTCATGATTAAGGACTGATGTCTGTGTTGCAGGTGTGGTTCCAAAACCGCAGAGCCAAGTGGCGGAAGAGAGAGCGTTTCGGACAGATGCAGCAGGTCCGGACACATTTTTCCACGGCCTATGAACTGCCCCTTCTCACTCGGCCTGAGAACTACGCTCAGGTAGAGAACTATCTTCAGTAATAGCTGAAAGTTAAGGAAATATCAGTAATGAATATTAATTATTATTATTCATGCTCATTAAGGATGTACATTTAAAAAAAAAAAAAATTATTATTTAGAAGATTCCATTAACGTTTCTTTTTAGGTGCATCCCAATTTGTGCACTTATGCACTATTCTATGCCGATTTTTAGTATAAAGTGTGACACTAAAGTGTCATTAGTGTGTTCACACTGAAAATTACAAAAATAAAAAGTGCACTTCAAGTGCCCAGATAATGCACTTAATTACCCCAAAAAATGAAGTTTGGAATGTTGGACACTTCATGTGCTCAACTGTCGTAGCTTTAATTATCAGACTCTGATGTTAGATGACAAAATAACCTTATATAATTTATACACTAGATCAGTGTTTCTCAACCCTGGTCCTGGGCATCCCCCAGCACTGCACATTTTGTGTGTCTCCCTAATCAAACACACCTGATTCAACTCATTAGCTCATTAAAAGAAACTCCAGGACCTGAAATGGGTGTTTCAGATAAGGGAGGCATACAAAATGTGCAGTGTTGGGGGGCGCCCAGGACCAGGGTTGAGAAAGACTGTACTAGATGGTTGAGTACATAGTGCATAGAATAAGTGCATAGTATATAGTGCGTCATTTGGTAAATCTTTCATTCAGGATTCGGACTAAACTGGTCACACTTTCTCTGATATGATGTACATTTTCTACCGATGTTGCGCCACCACTGAATAGTAGTGCAGGAAACCATGTCAGAGTACTTTATTAAGAATACAGGTGCGAGAACCGTTATTGACAGTCATTGTCATTGTATAAAAATGTACCTTAATGAATTGTAAGTTAACTTTTTAAAACCTGAATGTTGAACATTTGGGAATTTTAAATGAAAAACAATCTGTGTACCTTTGACAATTGTGAGACCTGAGGAAGCACAATGTCGAGGTCAGGTCTGTGGGCTGTGACAGAGGACGGCACGCCTTCACAGGAGAGCCAGAGAATCTCCTGGATTTATTATGAATATGCGGCCGGGTCGGAGGGCAGGGGTGGCGCTTTGGGGAGCACGCCTACAGCTGTGGAATGCAGCTTTGCTCACATCTGGGGCATCTCCCTGAGAGGGCTTTCATCTCCCTCCACAGCCCTCCCCCTCAGACCCCCACCTCCCCAGGCCCAGAGCAGAATACAGCCCTATCAATTCACTCTGTGCTCCCTCCGCTCAGCAGAGGAGGTTACTCTGGGTGTTGAAGGAACGTCTAGAGACAGGCATTCCTCCTCCACACTAGGCAAGCAGCTCCCACTCAGTACGGGACTAGATGAATGCCTCACAGCTCTTGATAAATCTCCACGTCGAGTACCACTGCAATATTTCAAAACAAGAGTAGTTGGACTTGATAAATGCTCTCATGACTATAAGCACATTAATGTTATTAATGCTGAGATTGCAGAATGAAAACACACTATACCTTAACCTTCTGCATTTGTCTTTGCTGCAGATTCAGAACCCTTCTTGGATAGGCAGCAGCAGTGCGGCGTCTCCGGTGCCCGGCTGCGTTGTACCCTGCGACTCAGTCACTTCCTGCATGCCACCTCATCCACATGCTGCTAGCGGAGTGTCTGACTTCTTGGGCGTACCCAGTCCTGGAGGTCACATGGGACAGACACACATGGGCAGCTTGTTTGGGAGTCCAGGCATGAGCACTGGCATTAATGGGTATGATCTAAACATGGACCCTGACCGGAAATCCTCCAGCATCGCGACATTGCGAATGAAAGCTAAAGAACACAGTGCAGCCATCTCTTGGGCTACATGACTCCCCCGTGATCAGGACATTATCTCTGAAGTCCCTCAACAAATAAGAGAAGGAGCAAATGTTAACATGAGTTAGCCACAAAAGCATGACCTGGGAACAAGGAGTGCGTGGATTGACAAAGAAAAAAGTAATAGAGATACCAGGATGATTTATTTCAATTTGAAGTCTAGAGAGACAAGACAAAATCAGAGATCATAAAACTGAGAATGTTCTGGCTTTAAAACAAGAAAGAAATAAAAGAAAGACGACAGAAACTTGACATCTGAATGCATAAAAGAATTAAATGAAAAAGAAAAAATGAATAGAAAAAAACCCTGCACTTATCCGCCACTAGTGTCCCATTTGTAAACATACATAAATTTATATAAACACATCTGGCTTTGTTTTCATCTCAGCATAATCAAAACCTGTTAAATTCCTGTTCTGTCACAGACTCCTTTTCTAAATATGCCATCTCTGCCTAGACTGTTCCAAAGGACTTACAATAGAGTTTCTCACAGTAAAAACTTTCCCATTGCAGCCTTTATCCAAACATGTATGCAGTAGTAATCGGGGTAGACTGGACTTTCTTTTTATACTAACTCCCCATATAAAACCTGACAAAATCCCTCATTGATCACACCAACATTGATTAGTTTGTTCATATTAATTCATTTGGCCTTGCAGACGTCTATCAGCTATTTAGAATAAGTACTACACGTGCCACAGTCTAAAAAGGGGCCAAGCACTTGAGAAAAAGTCTGTTGGGAGCTGCGCATCAGGCATGATAGACTTAAGAGGGCCTGGAGGTGCCAGACATCAGCCAAAAAATAAAGGCATAACTCTCTTGCAGGTAACTAGGCATTCCAAGGAAGTTTTCACTTGCCTTGATGAATTGTGTGCCCCCAGTACCAGTAGTCCCAGGAAAAAAAAGAGAAGTGCGATCTGCTAGTGCAAACCCAATGTGGTGGTGGTCTCTGTCCACACTGCAATCTATCTTTCTCTTCTTAGCAACCACATTTAATTTTTTTTTCTGGAAGAAAAAATTGTTTTAAAGCTGTTTGGCAAGATATGACAGCAGCATTCTCTGAGATACAAATCTTGGATCCGTCATACAAGCCAACAAATTGAATGTTAAACATAACTAAGAACTACAGTCTACAGAGAATGAAGGATGCAAAAATAGGTTGAGAAAGTTTTCTTTCTTTGTGTCATGAATATCATGACACGCTTGAATTTTTTCAGTGAATGTTGGTGCCTTAGCTGCCTTCATTCTCTAAGCCCTGGCTATATAATATCTACAGTGTTGGGGCTGTCTGAAATTTGAGCCATGCTTCATTAATTTTTTTGGCAGAAGTACCCATTGCAATATCTCAAATGAAACTATCAACTTGCCAATCTGGGCATCATCCTCCACGGCTTTGATTGGGTGGAAGCAATACTGGGCTTTGGCATGTAATCACTGACATTGCCATGCACAGAGGTGACAGAAATATAAAGCAAGCACTATTGCAAGGTACTACAAGCTTTCTGATTTTCCAGAGTCAGATTTAGATCAGGTAAAACAAAGAAAGCTGTTTGAAATCTGGAGACGAATCTGATCCGTTCTGCCCTTTGGAGAAGCCATTTCTAATTTGTAATGAGAACCACATTTCCTTTCCTTCATTCTGCTGTGCAGCTTATCTAGATCCCTGGAGATACTTATATATACACACACAACTTTTTTTTATTATAATA